TGTCATCGGGGTAGCCATTGACGAAGGCCTAACCTAGCTGGGCCGAAGACTGGGACACCGGCAATGAGAACAAGCCGGCTCATTAGGTGGGAATAACAAACTCAACCTTAAGAGCCTCTGGTGGACATAGACAAAAGACTTAACGAACATTCGACACAACAAAAAAGGTACAGAGTCGGCAGGCTGAAGTAAGAATGTTTCATTACCAAGATGGCTATATTGGCTAGATGCTGGCTAGGACTAGAGGTGACCCCATCATGGCTAACATTAGTTTCGGTTGCATTGTACGGCCGAGTTCTGTGTTTTGTGTGCATGCATATCTTACTTAATTTTTTAGGGTTTTCTGTTGTGTCGTGGATGCTGAGACACATCGCTGAAAACATTCATTCTTATTTCTTTATTCCATCTTCATCGTCTTCTCTGAGGCGGCCGTCAAGAATGTTCCATTTGCTGGCACCAATCGGCAATAATGCCTTACACCACACCATATTATCCTTTTCAATTTTTTGTTCAATAAAGTTTGTTTGTCTGGCCACTCCCATCTCTGTCTCTCTTAGTCCAATCCTTTTCAAGCGCTCCTGAGATAAATCGTGACAACTTGTGAGCGTGCTCAGCGCTGCCATCGTTTGTTCGCAATTCGCAGGTTGACTAGCATGGGATGATGCTGCCACTGGAGTTTTTTCACTCCTAAGTATAGCATGTGGTAGCTTCATTACGTTCAAACTGCATTGCAAAATTGTAAATTAAGGAAACGGACTGTACTTAGTAACATTAGTTTTTAGCGCTTGGTGAACCTTAAAACGCCCTTGCGCGAACCCAGTCTTAGGACCACTGTCAATGTTGTATTCGAGGATTGGAGATTGTGGGGAGGGTCGAGGGCGTTCATCTCATCACCTCCCTCCCCCCCTAAATAAAAATAAAGATTGCCAATGGCAGTCTTTCATCCTAACCAATCGGTTGTCATCTGGCGTGTTTGCTAGATGCCATACTTATTTCCCAATATATTGAGTAGCACAGCAATTCATACTTACCAATCGCACCTTCATTTCATATATTATTAAGTTTAAAAATTCATGAACATTGGGCGTTGCTAATACCAATGTTTCAACCAGCGAACTTGTCCTCAAAGCAGTCTTGAAGAAGATCCTAACCCCTCCCCCTCCTTTTTTCTTGGTTTGGTCACTGATAGTGCCCCTTTTGTAGCAGTTTGCTTTGCACCAGCATTATTTTTTAGAAGACATTCTGAAGATTTCGAAAACTGAAAGTAAGTGCTCAACGCAATGTTCTTGAAAGCGAAGGGGAGTGCCACTTGGTCCTCATGCCTCTTAAAATTATTAAGTATGATAGAGTGTCATCTAGGTGATTAGTGGCTATCTACACAGGCAATTTCAAACACTATTTTCTTATTGCCAACAAGTCTACTTCATCTTTTTTTCATTTCAGGCTGCTCTTTTTCTGGTCGGAATTTTTTCACTCTTAGGACCGACCATATGATGCCTGCCATTCGCAGAAACAGTACGTCATGCTAGCCTCGTCATTGTTGCTTAATTTCAGTGCACAGCTTGTGCTGTGCAGTGAAGCCAGAATGTGACACTCTTTCGCGCTGAGAATTCGATTAATGGTTGGTTTCTGCATGTTAGCCCTGTTATCTCTGAAGACAGGGAAAGAAAGTGACAGGATTTGCACCAAGTATGTTGACTTATCCTCTGACGTTGACTTATCCTCTTCCCTGTTGGGAAGTGGTTACCCAGATGCCTCTCTGTCATCCGTGAAATGCAAGTTCGGGCGTCCTTCTACTTTCCCGCCACAATACTCGAATCGGTTCAGTAAAACCTACGTGTCTGGCATGAGTGAGACTTCGGCCCATGTTCCGCGCAGTCACGACGTATACGTAACTCATGTTCTCACGCACAAAGCTAAAACACACTTTCATCTATGTGAAAGACAAATTATAAAAAGAGGGCTTTTTTGGTGTTGTGTACAAGATCTCTTTCCCGTTCGTGAATCGCGATTGTGTGCATGTCACGAGTAAGATAGTTAAACAACAAAGACAGAGGAAAATCATGCGGAAGAGTCACGAGCACATGCATGGAGAGTACACGGCTTGATACGTGTGACACGAGTTGTAATGCAAGGTGACAGTGCGATAAGCTGGAATAGTCCGTGTGGCAACAAGAGGAGAACATCGTATCGGGGGCTAGGTTCTATTGAAGGGTGCAGCGTGCGTTCAGTTCTGAAGGCTGTGACGGCTCTCAGTAATGTGGCTGTTGACCTCGACGACACTCGGGCGAGGCACCTCAAAGGTACTGCACCATTTTTTGGTTGTTCCAGACGCACCATCAGTAGTCAAACATTGAACGTCAGCCAGTAGCTATCCCTGGAATGCCATGTCTTCACGTTGGGCAGGAGACCGGGACCGTGCTAAGCCTGGTCAACGAGAACAAACTGCCACGTCGCCAACAGCAAACAGGAGCAGGCTCACGGCAGCGTGGCTCTCCATTATGCTTCGAAGCAACAATTGAAGAGGATTGTTGGCAACATTTACTGTAAATCCAACACAGAGGTTTGACTAACGGCAATGAACGGGACCAAGTAAGAATGTTTCATTCTGTGGGAATCGAGAGCGCCCTCCTACCTGGCGCCTCATTCCCCAGCTGCTGCACGCGCGCCACCAGCGTAGCCCGGGTGCACATAAGCACCGGCATCCGCCAAGATGACTGCCAGGGCGCCTCTTGGTATGGGCCAGTCAACCGTCGGCTTCTTCCCGCGCTGACATGTCCGGGCACGCTACGCTGGTGCGCTGCGCGGGCCTACGTCAAAACGCAGCGCCATTTCCCATTGGCCGTGCGTGACATCCTCCTCTCCTACGAGCTGTGTTGCGCCCGACGATTCGCTCGTCGCGGCAGATGCTCTCAGGCCTTCATGAGGGGTCGACGCGCTGCTAAGCAGGCGGCTTCTCGTTCGTGCGTTCGACTTCGGCCCTTGTGCGGGAGTCGTCGCGCCCTAGGCAAGCGTACTTGCTCGGTCTTGCGGAGTTCCCTATACGGCCTGCAAGCCCGTGAGTGTCGCACTGGGCTGCATCTTGGGTTAATAAACCCGTTGTTGTTGTTATCCTGTCCCGTGCGTGGTTTCTGCGCCGTGCCAGAGAAAACGACAAACCCGGCCGCAACGTCTTCGCACGCAGCGGCATTGGAGGACGTCGCATCCCTACACGGTTGCGCATACTAGGTAAGCCTAGTGCAAACCTATCTCCACAATTCTAGCGACCACCCGACAGCAAGGTGAGAGTGGCCAAGCTCTTGATAAAGACTATAGATAGAAGTAGCAAGAACTGAAGATATTGTTGTTACGGCATTTTCGGAGAGTAACACTCTATGTAAGGTTTCTTTACTATTGTTTGTTTATTGAGTGTTGAGTTTTCTTCTAATTTTTCTGTCTGGAAATAAACCATGTTTTCCGTGTGGCCCAGCATCCTCTCAAACGATTTCCAATAACACGCGCCTCCGACATCCGTGACAGCGTACAGCGATCAATTTGGGAACATTGAGCAATGGCTGAAGTAGCATAGTAATGATGTAAAAAACGAGAAGGTGTCATTGTGATGTTATTAGAGGCAAGACGCGACAGTACACCAGGGCACCAATACACGTTCACACTTGTATTAGCCTTTCATACCGCTCATGGACAGACACGCATTTACATTGGGTACATGAGCTACAGAAGCAATTGTCTTTAAGTGAAAAGTTCTCTCGCCGTGTAGGGGGTGACAAAGACGGCGGTCATGTGAAGACATTGCGCCGCCTGGCTGGCTCGCTGTGTTTCACGTGGATTAGTCCTCTTCTTGATCTGACCTTCTGCCGCGGCAGCAGCATCAGCGCTCAGCCGTCTCGTCCCGGCAGCAACCTGACATCGTGCCAGCCCCTCGACGGCTCCCTGGGCCAGTCGCCCAGCTGGAATATCAGTTGACCTGGCTTGTGGCCCGCCGTGAGGACTCAATTCACTGCTGTGGACGGTGGCACGAACAGCAGACCTCGCCTGCTTCCCGGGTCTGTCGCCCAGCTGAGCATCAGTTGGCCCCGTTCATCGGTTGCCCAATCGCAGTAACAACAGCTGGAACAGCCACGCAATGCCTGGTCCCTGGGCCAGTCACCCAGCCGGACTGTTGCTGGACCACGAACGCTGGCTGACCTCGAACATGACCGTCGAGCACATCCAAAGTCGCGTGTCTCCCGCTCGCCAGGCTGCACTTCACGAGCTGTCAGGGTCTTCTTCCCCACCACGCGGCACATACGTGCACTCAGGAACCAACTGTGCTACCGCATGACTCTTTTGGTTTTTGTTTCTGTTCCGCACACCACATAATATTACAATCATCAAACACCCTTGCTGAACATGCGCACACCTGAAATCATGAGATAGACGGGGGTAGACCACGTGTCGTTGCTACAAAAAAGGGCTTGATTTCTAGATACAAAGAAGAAAAAGCCCGCTCAATTGGACAAACAGTAATCTGCCCCCTGCATTTTCAAGATGTTTAGGACACACGCTGTAAACTGTTTAGGCGCTTAGCTTCCATCTTTTGCTAATAAAACATGTTAATGCATTTTTTATTCTCGTGTGGTCGGCATCTCTGTCATTTTATTCAAGAGGCAAGATGTTACGATTGTTAAGTATGGCGAATTTTACGTAATATTATGCTGTACATATTGTATGTATTATAAATTGTGAGTATTATCATGCTGAGTTGTCTGCTACTACTACTATTCAAAGTTGCTTTCACCTTGGATCAAACTGAAAAAGCAACATTTGCACAGACGTAGTTGCGATTCCTAGAAATAATGTATGAATCAGTTGAATAATGAGAGCAGCACAGATTTTTATATTACTCTGCTACTTGTGTGTATGCTGTTTGAAAGTATTTCACCCTATCAGTAATTGCTTGAAACCTCGAAATCTCTGGTGTAATGCTTGCGCCAAGACTGTCCTCACGTGCCTGGCAGGGAACTGAGCTGTGAGAGCCCCAGCAAGCGGGTGAACCAGTTTCCCTTTGAGCATGTTCTCACGGTCAAGGACCTGCTGGCCCTGGTGTGTCGCCGGGGCTGCTGCAGCCAGGAGCCCCTGGTGGACGCCGACAGCCTGAGCAGTCAGCCCCCGTGGCTGCCCACCACCTACAACCTGCAGACCGAGCTGCCTCACTTCGTCTCCTACTACCAACAGAGGCAGAAGAGGTGGGCCTCAATGCACGCCTAATGTGGGTGACAAGGCCAATTGGGCACTGCAAGATAATCGTGTGAAAAAAAAAAAAAACCACAAGAGTGTTGATGTATTGTAATCTATGGCTCCTAAGTCAAGACAGCAGTCGTCACATTCACTTGAGATACTGTCTGCAATACTGGTAATGGATTAAAATTAGACTTGTGCGAATATTCAAGTACTTTAAATATTTGACTGAACTTTACAGTGTCCGAATTCAATTCGATCTTGATTTAAATTACAGTAAATTTGAAACCATTCGAAATGAACAATTAGCTGTATATTAGTGTGTACAGTACCATCCACAGTTAAAGAGAACACTCGGAAGAGCACCTTTCGCATTGCTAAATAATCACAGCATATTCACGGGGTGAATGATGATGAGTGGGGCGAAGCATCCATCAGCCCGTCCGTGCTTCTATCTGTCTGTTCGTTCTTGATTCAGTCCGTCCGCGCGACCAATTGTGCATCCATCTATGCGCCTGTCCATGCGTCTATCTGTGAGTCCGTCCGTCCATCGGTCTGCTAGTCTGTCTGTCTATCCGTCCGTGGCTCAGTCCCTGCGTCCATCTAGTGAACACTCCAAGTACCGCCATCTCCCATCTCGCATCCCCTGTGGCACATACCCGCTCTAGAGTGGGTATGTGCCACCAGTGGCTACGTACTACTCCATACATACCGAGGAGTGACAGACCCACCCCCTAAGGAGCTTCGCCTCTAAAAAGAGCGCTATTGTTGTGTATAAACAGATAAGGAGACAATGTTCATCCACAACACCAGCCTTTTAAAAGCAGTCCAAACTGTCAACCACCACCAGTCTTATACAAATTTAAGCCACTATGCTTTTGCGAGAGAGCGACATCCGGACGTGCTCCACACACGTGTTCCTTTTAGCACTAGACCCGTTTGTACATGACCCGCCTTGTAAAGGCATTTCACTACAGGTCCGCAAATTAAAAAGCTGCTCGGCGAGTATCTGCTTGAGCAGCGAGCGCCACGGCGGCCCGTGACGACAGAACTGCTCCAAGTGCGGGCTATGCAATTAGCCTTAGAAAAAGGTCTAATGCGGAGCCAGTTTAAAGCGAGCAGGTGCTGGCTAACTAACTTTATGAAGAGGAAGGGCTTTTCCCTCCGAAGGGGAATGGGCATATGCGAAAAGTTTTGCAGAGGAGTACGATGAAAAGCTTCACAGTTTTCAGAGGTTCGCCCTGAACTTGCGGCACAACAACGGCTACCTGCTTGGACAAATCGGGAATGCCGATCAGACGCCTCCTTACTTCGACATGCCTGGCACCACAACTGTCGAGAAGAAGGGGGCGAAGCAAGTTACCGCCCTTTGAGCAGATACCGCCCTTTGAGCAGAGTTTCACGCGTATCGTTCGACGGGAACTTGAAGCAGCAAGTCCAGCGCCACTTCAGCCTTCTTTCTAACATGCTATCATACTAACAACCCCCACGGTCTCTGTTATTCAGGTGGTCGTTTGACAAAAAACCGCCAACCCCAGGTTTCCTGTCGCCTGCCCTGTCTCTCGCCCCTCCTCCAGACAAATGCCCATCAATGCATCTCGACGTGAACCATTCGTTCCTCCGCAATCTCGCAACCACACAGAATGGCGGACTCCCGACGACAAACCGATGTGCTTCCCGTGCCACCGTGTTGGACATGTCTTCTGCTACTGCCGTGCCTCCTGGACGCCGCCACATAAGAACCTGTCTTTCGCACTTTATCACCCATATGAAGATCACTGTCGGTATTCACCCAGGCGTATGGATTCTGCTTTTGACACAGCTAACAGCCTCCTTCCTGCTCGTTCTCCGTTCTCTCCACGCCGTCGATTCCTGTTGCCCCAGCCACGCCGCCATCCCTCGCCGCCCAACTTTCACAACTTGCACGACGAAAAACTAGACCATGCAGCTCCCGGAGGTAGGGCTGCATCATCTTCGTCTGAACCAAACCCTCCATTGATTCTTCCTATGAACAAGAATCTTATCGATGTGCACCAGGACAGTATTTCTTTGACGGCTATAGTCGATACTGGTGCTCACGTGTCGATAATCAGCGTTCATCTTTGTCGCCGCTTAAGAAAAGTACTCATGCCTCCTGCTACAGAAGCTGTACGTGTCGCCGATGGCGGAACTGTTTCTGTCATTGGAATGTGTACGGCCCGCATAAGCATCGCCGATCGTTACGTTTCTGTCCTAATCACAGCGCTCAATAACTGTCCTCATGACCTCATCTTAGCGATGGACTTTCTGTCGACCCATTCTGCTCTGCTGTTCTGCTGGTACTTTTTGCTTAGACATTCCTCTTCAGCTGGATATTCAACCTGAACTTCAACGTGGCCTCTGTGCCTCAGGTTTTCTCCGCTTACTGCCTAAAGGCCTCAGATTCGCCGAATTCGCCACGACCTCACCCGTGTTGGATGGGGATTACATCGTCACACCGATTCCTGATGTCTTGCTGGCCTGTGGCGTCACCGTCCCTCACTGCGTCATAACTATAGTCGCAAACTGGGTACATCTACCTGTTCTCAATTTCAGCTTCACGAAGCAAGTTCTCTCTGAAGGCATCTTAATCGCCACGTTGCGGCCCTTAGCCGACGACTACGTCACCACTTTTGCAGCCCACATTTGCACCAATCTTTCTAATCGCCCACCTGATGCCACATGTCTCGACATGTCAGTATGTCCCATGATCGCTCCTGACCTTCCCCTAGCGCAATCAGCCGCCCCCAGCTGCCTTTTTGCTTCCTACCACGACATCTTCGACCTTGACGATCGGCTACTCGGCCAGACTTCTCTTGTCCAGCACCGCATCAACACACGTGATGCAGCTCCCATTCACCGTTGACCGTATCGCGTGTCCGCATCGGAGCGCCAGATTATTCAAGCCGAAGTGAACAAGATGTCAACTAAAGGCATTATTGAGCCCTCATCAAGCCCTTGGGCATCACCCGTCATCCTGGTTAAAAAGAACAACACATGGCACTTCCGAATCGATTATCAGCATCTAAATCGAATTACGAAAAAAGACGTGTATTCTTTGCCCCGAATTGATGACGCTCTCCATTGTCTCCATGGCGCACGCTACTTTCCATCCATCGACCTTCGCTCTGGTTATTGATTGCGGTGGACAAGAAAGACCAAGAGAAGACCGCCTTCGTCACTCCCGATGGCCTGTACCAATTCAAGGTTATGCCCTTCGGTCTATGCAACGCCCCAGCCACGTTTGAACGAATGATGGACTCTCTGCTGCACGGGTTCAAATGGTCAACATGCTTGTGTTACTTAGACTATGTCCTCGTGTTTTCACCTACATTTGAGAACCATCTTGAGCATCTGTCGGCCATTCTCGACGTCTTCCGCAATGCTGGCCTTCAGTTGAACACCTTGAAGTGTCACTTTGGCCGCCGACAGATTACAGTGTTGAGCCACCTTGTTGATGCTTCTAGTGTGTGGCCAGACCCTGAGAAAATTCGTACCATCGCGAGTTTCCCAATACCCCAATCCGCCTAAGATGTCCGGAGCTTTGTGGGACTCTGTTCCTACTTCAGGCAGTTCGTGAAAGACTTTGCAGCTATCGCCCAACCACTTACCAATCTTCTGAAGAAAGGCGTCCCTTTTTGTGGGGGTCCACTCAAGCCGCTGCCTTCTCTCGCCTCAGCACGCTTTTGACGACGCCCCCTATCCTGGCCCACCTTGACCCATCCTCCCAAACTGAGGTCTGAACGAATGCCAGTAGCCACGGTACCGGAGCCGTTCTCGCCCTACATCAACAGGGACACGACCGCGTTATTGCGTATGCTAGCCAGCTCCTTACACCTGCAGAGCCCAACTATTTGATCACGGAGCGAGAATGCCTTGCTCTTATCTGGGCGGTCTAAATGTTCTGTTCGTATTTATATAGCACTCGCTTCTCCGTGGTCACCTACCACCATGCGCTTTGCTGGCTTTCATCCTTGAGAGATCCCATGGGTCGACTTGGTCGCCGGGCTCTGCGACTGCAAGAATACACCTTTACTGTGACATACAAGTCTTGACACCAGCATCAGGACATCAATTGCCTTTCTCGCTATCCAGTTGGCTAATCAGCCGCCGTACCTAACAACGTTGCCTGCGTGTGCTCCATTTCTCAACTGACCCACATAGCCGGCGAGAAACGCCGTGATGCAGCCTTATGGGCTATTATCGAGCGCCTCGACTCCTCTCCATCGAACCGATTCCATCGCTCGTTCGTACCCCAGAATGGTACATTATACCGGCATAACTTCCATCCAGACAGCTCATCTCTGCTGCTTGCTATACCCTAACACCTCCGCTCGGCTGTACTCCACGAACTTCATGACGTTCCTACTGCTGGTCACCTCATCGTGTCCCGCACATACGACCGGATTCACCGTCGCTTCTATTGGCCAGGTCTCGCACGCACCGTCAAAAGATACGGCGAGGCGTGTGAGGTATGTCAGCGCCGCAAAGCATCGTCGATGCTTCTGGCTGGGCACTTTCAACCACTCGACATTCCTTCTGAACCTTGCTTTCGTGTCGGCTTGGACTTACTTGGCCCTTTTCACCTGTCTTCTGCTGGCAATAGCGGGATAGCTGTGGCCACTGACTAAGCCATACGCTATGCCATACACGCGCCCTTCCAACAAGTTGCGCCGCAGATGTCACCGATTTTCTTCAACACGACGTGATCTTGCAATAAGGTGCTCCACGCCAGCTGCTCACAGACCGAGGCCGCACATTTCTATCGAGAGTCATAGCGGACATCCTACGCTCATGTGCAACGCGCCACAAGCTCACTATGTCGTACCATTCGCAAACAAATGGTCTCACGGAGCGTCTAAACCAAACCCTAATCGACATGCTTTCAAAGTGAGTTTTTTCAGACCACTCTGACTGGGACCTCGCTCTACCATACGTGACATTTGCATACAATTCTTTGCACCATAACAAAGCTGGCTACTCCCCATTTTTTCTGTTGTTCGGCCGCGAACTCGCATTGCCCCTCGATACTGTCATTCCGTTGCCAGCAGCTCCGACCACAAAATATGCCCAGGACGCCATCATACAGGCCACCCACGCACGCGAAGCGGCTCGTGCTCGCCTTCTGACCTCCCAAGAAAACTAACAGCGTCGGTATGATCAACGACACCGCGATGTGCACTTTTTGCCCAGTTCGTTGGTTCTGCTGTGGTATCCGACCAGGCACGCTGGCCTGTCTGACAAACTGCTCTCACCGTACACAGGGCCATACAGAGTGCTTCACACGGTGATTCCCGTCACTTATGAAATCGCTCCTGCTGCCTCGTCGTATTCATCCACCCCTCACGCCAGCGACATCGTACACATCACACGCCTGAAGCAGTACTACTCGCCTAGTGGCGTTGACCACTAGATGCGCCGAGACGGCACTTTTGGCGACGGGGGTTCTGCTACATGTACGCTGCCGCAATGCAAATTGGCAATGCGCGTGTTTGCCCAATGAAGAGGATGAAGGTCGCTTGCTGCTCGAACTGGTAGCCAGACTGTCAGTGCTGCAACCGCTCTTGCAAATATATTTCAAAAATATATTTGCACTATATTGACTCGTTACTCACCTAACAATATGTAAGTCACTGTACCTTCTTCATAACTTGACCAGTCTGCAATAGTTGCTTATTATGACACCTATAGTAGCTTTTAGTAGCTTTTCTTAAGGTATTGTGTTCAATGTACCAGATATGATACAGTGGGCATTACCGGGTGAATTACTTCATATAACATTACAATTTGTTGCTATTGCATTTATTGCATTGCATTTATTGCATTGCATTCAACGTGTCGTCATGTTGTTGTAAATCTAAGTGGCTATTCGCGAAGGGTATACGGTCCCGCAAATTTTGAACTTAAAGCTTACTTTGAACTTAAAAGAAGGACATTTGCACATGCTATAAGCATCTTTATTGGCCCCAAGTGAGCTTTCAAATGCGCATTTTCACAACAATCAGCTGGGTCGTCCTTTATTTGTTCATTCAGGTGTGTCCCAGAAAGACATGCACGGGTTCTTTTTTTTTTTTTTTTTTGATGGAAATAAATGTTTTTTGCATGTATTGCCATTCGAAAACGAATTTTGCTAGTTCTTTATGATGCGAAAGTCGCAGAAATGCGAATATTTTTGCTCCCCGTTTGAGATTCGTACCATCTACAATAGTTGGAAAATACTTCCTGCATTGTGTGTTTGGCCATTACAAGACAGCAACGCCAATGTTTATGGTTGGGGGGGTTGTTCAGTGCACTCCCTCTTCCTTTTTTTTTTTTTTTGTTTTGTAAAGAGGGTAGAAGATGAGATATAAGTGCATGTTGATATATACTAGCATGTGGACACAACACGAGCTCTCGTGTTCTATGCACCACTCTTTCTTAGTCGTGCCTTTCGCACTGTTTTCCGTCTACCAGCTATCAATCATTACCAGCTTGCCTAGTTTTCAATCCTCTCCGTAACTTCTGAGTTCAAATTTGCGTCTCGAGCCATTCGTTTGGCCAGCCTAGGTCCCAGCCAGGGGCTAATTAGTGTGAGCACTCTGCGCTTCTTCTCTTCTCTTTATATGTCATCATCAGCCTGACTACGTCCACTGCAGGACAAAGGCCTCTCCCATGTTCCGTCAGTTAACCCGGTCCTGTGCTTGCTGCTGCCAATTTATACCCGCAAACTTCTTAATCTCATCTGCCCACCTAACCTTCTGTCTCCCCCTAACCCGCTTCCCTTCTCTGGGAATCCAGTTAGTTCCCCTAATGACTAGCGGTTATCCTGTCTACGTGCTACATGCCCGGCCCATGTCCATTTTCTCTTCTTTATTTCAACTATGTTATCCTTAACCCCCGTTTGTCCCCTAATCCACTCTGCTCTCTTCTTGTCTCTTAAGGTTACACCTACCATTTTTCTTTCCATTGCTCGCTGCGTCGTCCTCAATTTAAGCTGAACCCTCTTTGTAAATCTCCAGGTTTCTGCTCCGTAGCTAAGTACCGGCAAGATACAGCTGTTATATACCTTCGTCTTAAGGGATAGTGGCAATCTACCTGTCATAATTTGAGAGTGCTTGCCGAGTGTGCTCCACTCCATTCTTATTCTTCTAGTTACTTCAATCTCGTGATTCGGATCCGCGGTTATTACCTGCTTAAGTAGGCATAGTCTTTTACAAGTTGAAGTGCACTATTAGCTATCTCGAAGCGTTGCTCTCTTCGAGGTAGTTGTACATTACTTTACTTTTCTGCAGATTAATTTTAAGACCTACCTTTTTGCTCTCCTTGTCTAATTCAGTAATCATGAATTGCAAATTGTCCCCCGAGTTACTCAGCAATGCAATGTCATCGGCAAAGTGCAGGTTACTAAAGTACTCTCCATTAACTCTTATCCCTAACTGTTCTGGGTTCTGAAAATGTCCTGTAAGCACGTGGTATATAGCGTTGGGGAGATTGTGTCCTCCTGCCTTACACCCTTCTTGATTGGTATTCTGTTGCTTTCTTTATGAAGCACCTTCTATGTACAGTCGCCCAAATCTCTACTCAACAATAGTCATTACGACAATCTTTTCTTTGATTTCCGTTGTACGACTAAATTTCCAGAAAGGGAGAGGGCAAGTGCATGCCCACTTACCACTCGCCCACAAAACAAAGTTTTAGAACTTTGTTTCACAGCGTGGTGCGGACACTCAGAGAAATCACCACTGCGTGCGATCAAGTTAAAACTTGGGCAACTGTACATGCTCATCATCACCGTTTGGATTGTGGAGCTCATTCTTGAGACTATAAAGAATATATAGTCTTGACGGTTCTAAGCATTGTGAAGTGCTTCACAATACCATCGTAAATGATAGGTCTGAAGTAGCACTATATCATCAGTCGTGGTGGATAAAGGGGCCTCTACGCCATTGAAAATTGCAGATTGTCATGGTCCAGCTTCATGTGTTAATGTGGTCAGGGAACATTGTGAAGTGTGGTGGCTGGCTGTTCATGACAGAGGCCTGGACAATGTGTGGATCTGTAAACCCTGGAACTTAGCTCGGAGCTTGGACACCCACGTGACGGATAACCTGAACTACATCTTGCGTCTACCAGCCACAGGTCCTAAGGTGAGCACCCTTGGCTACTCTGATGGCCTTTCAGGGTTACACGAAAAACACATTTCATTCTGATCTGGAGCATTGATTTACATACTGTCGAGCGCAGGTGACATCGTTATTCTTTTTATAGGTTAATTGGTGAATGAGCATGATATAAGTAGCACAGAGATTTGGAGAAACGTCTGAGCACGAGGAAGGAAAAAAGGTTGTTTCAGCTTCATTAATGTGGTCAGTGATGGTCCTATTGCTCCAACAGTGCCAGAGTTCACTAATCTGCCTGTTTACATGGCATTGGATCATTTATAGTCCGAAAATAGTCTTGGTCAAAAGAAACATTACTGAAGCTTTTCCATGCTGGCCCCGATGCCTTCTACTCGAGCAAATACAGTGATGTGCTTTTTTTAAATTATATTCAGCCTAACTGAAATCTTGGTGCCGCACTACGTGTCTCCATTGTTTGCAGTTTAGCATGTCATTGATAGTTGCCGTTATTTGATAGGGAACTTGCAATTGATTGCATGACCCTAGAGCGCATTATATAGCTCATCTTACAGTACACATAACTCCGAGCACATGACAGAGAGCAGCTAGTCAGGTCAACAACTCATTAACAATAGTTGCTCAGGTTCACAGCTGCAAGACCTGCAGTGTATTGTCAACTAACTGTCACGTGTTGTTTTCATTACATATTTCAACCGCTCATTTAGACTGTCTTCCTCGTAGTTCAGCCCCTTTATTAAAGACATGCACCAAGTAGAAATTTTCGCCTTTCTTATGAAATGTCTCTTATAAGCAGGGTACCATGTACCGTATTTACTCTCGTAATCCTCGCACTCGCATAATTCTCGCACCCCCCACATCGCCCAAGATAAACTGCGATTTTTTTTTTCCTCAAGTAATTATCGCACCCCCGAAAACTGCCGCAATAATGTAGTCTGCTCGTTCTAGCCATTGATGATGATAGCAGGCGCCATCTAGCGCCATCTCTTAAGCATCAAGCGTACTATTGCACAGAGATTCAAGCCAAGCCAAGCCGAAGTGGCCAGTGCGCGTTGCGGCGTGTTTTGTTGTTGTGTCGGTAATCTTGGCACGTTATGGGGCGATACTGAAGCCACACGGCTGCTTTAAGTTGCAAGTGATAGATCATGCGCTATACAACGGCAACAGGGCCGCCGGTAGGCCCTTCGGAGCCTACGAGTTTTGTGTTCGCTACTGGTGACGGCAGCTGAAAGCCCACAAGACGCATTGGGCCTGCCGTGTGCCTAAAACTGGGATTGATGGTAAACTTTATTTTTTCAGAAGGGAACTGCAGACGATTCTGTTAAATAACCATCAGCCCAATACTGACGTCCTACGCTTACTTTTTGAGGGCTCCTGTCGAGCGCCAACCGCTACCGCTACACCCGCAACGCCCACAAGCTTCGCGTATGGTATTCTAATTCTCGACTATTTGCTTCCACTTTTTGTGTCTCAAATAAATCTTGCCTTGTGTTGAACCTCTGCTTTTATTGTTGAGGTAAGTTCTAATTAGTACTTCTTAAAGCTTGTTGTAAGGTGCGTTTGTGAGAATTTCGATTTGCGGCCACTTTGTTTTCTTTTTCGCCCTCTGCGTTTTCGTAGAAAGTTTTCCCCGCGTAATTCTCGCACCCCCCAACTTTGCATCGGTTTTCTGGCAAAAAAAAGTATGAGGATTATGCGAGTAAATACGGTATGCATTTTCTTATCAGTGCATGTTTAAACGAAGGCGCACTGGTCTCTCTTTACATCAGAGTCTCAAATAAAGGTGTTCGACTCTATATTGTTTATCACATGACAGAAGGATACTGTAAACTACACAAGCAACAAATGAACCTTTGTGCTGCTTTTTGCAGTCTCATTAAACACGAGCGCTCCTTAGATTTCATAGTTTAATAAGTTTCCGTGGGGCTGAAAACACAACTTTCACTTTTGAGCAACCAACAATGTTTTTTTCTTGTGGGACAATGTGTATATAGGGAATATTAGCCACTTTTTGTTATGCATGGGTTGGTGTGCTCTGTGAATGGCAGTTTTGTGGTCAATCACAGGTTTTCTAATGTAGTGAAGAAGTCAAAGATGCACACGATGCAATCAAGTCTTCGCTTCCAGTCTGAGCAGTTGTTACAAGCTAGCTACCCTTTGCATGTACAGTGAATTCTTGCTTCAAAAAATGTACATGCAGAATAACCGTATAGGTTATCTAATGGGTACTAATAGAAGAAAAGCACAGTTAATAGCTGTAAAAAGTTAGCTTGTGTAATCATTTGAAGACCTCTGTAGGTATACCTTGGGATCAACTGCAACGAGACATAGGTGTTGCAATATTCACAGTACTAGAGAATCTCCTGAGTTGTATCAAACGTAGAACATTTACCCCCGTATTCTAGAACGCCCCTTCACTCAACGCTCCACCTTAACTTGAGAAAGCCGATGGGAGCGCCATCTCTAGGCACGGCAAGTCACTGCATATCGATGATAATCTGCTGCGATTCTTGAGTAGCGCAGTGTCATTTTCAGCCGAGCGGTGGCGCAGTGCTCAACTCTGTCAAGTGAAGGGTGAAATTCGAGTCGAGGAGCGTTTGCAAATACGGGGGTTAGAGTTGAGGAGCTTGCCATGTTTTTGTAAGGTGGAGTCTTGCTGGGTACGATGTGTGTCGCTGCAGGTGGCGTGCAAGTATGTTTCGGACCCTGTGCTTTTTCCCCTGGAGGGCGTGGGCCTGGCAAAGTTTGACTTCCGCTACGTCGTCGTCCTGCTCGGCGTGAGGCCCCTGCGCCTCTATGCCTACCGCCATTTCTGGCTTCGCTTTGCCAACAAGTGAGCAACAAAATGTGAACACTCTGCATTGTACGAGTGCTAAGCTGCATTTTATGAAAAGTGAAAACTTCTTTGGAAACAAAATGCAGTCGAATCCATCCTATAACGATATCAGTTTTAATAATATATCAGTAATAGCAATGAAAAGCAGCTGCACTATGAACTTTGGTGTGTTTTTGATGGCAAAACGCAAAAAATGACGACCCGATTCATAAGCGAAGTTAAGAGTACATACATTCTACGCTCACGAGTTGCACTCAATTAAATGCCTTTTATTGCGAAAGCGATTATATAAAAAGTCTCGGCTGGTTTTTGCTGTTGCCACCACTGCCGTCATTCACGTATATGTATGTATACTATATACGGGGAAGGATGCGCTTGCCTCTCCTTTCTGCAGAGCGAACATCGCCTTTCCGGCTGGGCTGGCCTGCGCGCGCGCTTATCTCGCCAGCAATTAAGGGGGACGGGCGGGGGAGGGGGGTGTGTGTGGTTTGGTTGCCACGCTTCCTGCAGGGGCGCCTGCGCAAGTAGGCGTTTGGTGTGTAGCGACACCATGAACACGAGCTAACGGGGGGGGGGGGGGGGGGGGGGTTCGACTCCCTCCCACGCCTAGCCGTGCGTGGCTTTGCCGTGTCTAGGGAAAAGGGAATCCTAGGGGTTGAGCCGACGTTGGGTGATTGGACCTTTAAGGCCTCCCGACAGAGGCAACACATCCCTTTGGCCCCGGCTTCACGTAGACGGCACCTCTGGGCTGACCCACCCAGGGAAAATCGGCAGTCGCCTTTTCCTATCTCTCTCTCCTTACATCTTCGTCTTTATCTCCCACTTTTAATCTGCCTTGTCATCTTCTCTTTTCCATCTACTTCCAAATTTTCTGGCGGCAAGGGTTAACCTTGTGTGCTTATCCAACCTAGGATAAACCATATTAGGTTATAGTGATGGCGTACTGCTGGCGTTGCGCAGACGTGTTCACATGCTCTGCCACGTCCCCTAGTTGCGCTCCGTGGTGGGTGGTAGGCGCCGTTGCCGAACAAACGCTTTCTTTCATGGGATCACCAAACCCCTTCCTAAGAGATCGCTCCGAAAAAAGGGGGCGCACCGAAGCAGCCTCACAGTTTTCATTTGGTCCTTGTGCTACAAAACACCGCTCATCATCATCATCATGACAGTGAGTAATGAAGAATCGAGACTTGTTCCCAAAATATCATGTCATACATTGTGAAACCACAGGAAAAAAAGCAACAAAAATAACACCGTTTCTAGTTTCCAGATGCCTTACTGATACCATTGGCACTGGCTACAAAGCCACCAAGATGGCCAGTGGGGACCTGCTAATAGAAGTCAAAGACAAAATCTAGTATCAGGGAACTAAGCAACCTTGTTGCATTTGGGGACAAACCTCTCACCATTACCGCTCACCGAACATTGAACACAGTGAAAGGTGTCGTATCAGATGAAGCTCTTGTAGACCTTACCGACGAAGAACTTTTGGACGGCTGGAAAGGCGAGAATGTCATACATGTGCAGCGTATTAAAGTTAGGCGAAATAATGCAGAACTCCCCACAAAACACATTGTACTGACGTTTGGAACAAACAAACTCCCAGAAACAGTTGCTACAGGCTATCTCATACTCCGTGTTCGACCATATATACCAAACCCTAGACGTTGTTTCAAGTGCCAACGATTTGGCCATGCTTCCCAAAGCTGTCGAGGGCAGCTCATATGCGCAAGGTGCGCCACCACAGGGCACTCTGCTCATGACTGTAAGTCTGAGGTGGAGGCCCATTGCGCGAACTGTGATGGTGACCATCCCGCTTATTCTCGCTCATGCCCAGCCTGGAAAAGAGAAAAAGAAATTCTCACAATTAAATTTCAAGAAAGTGTCAGTTTCAGGGAAGCCCGACAGTGCGCATCGCACACTTTTCTACAGAAGTCATTAGCCGAAGTGGTGCAAGGGGGGTCAGCACCACTACGGTTTTCAGCAAAGCCCCGGACGACGCTTGGCGGGCTGAGGCAACCGCCAGCAGACCCCACTGGAGGAGCAGCCCTGGCTGCTCCGCCATCTTTGAACACGGCCTTACCAAAGGCCCCTGTGAACCCTGGCAGCAGCCAGGGCAACACACAAACTATAGAGGTCCCCTTGACCTCTGGCCCGGTGGGGGCGAAGGCTTTGTCTGCCAATGCCCCGCCGCGATGGTCTAGTGGCTAAGGTACTCGGCTGCTGACCCGCAGGTCGCTGGTTCGATTCCCGGCTGCGGCGGCTGCATTTCCGATGGAGGCGGAAATGTTTTAGGCCCGTGTACTCAGATTTGGGTGCACGTTAAAGAACCCCAGGTGGTCAAAATTTCCGGAGCCCTCCACTACAGCGTCTCTCATAATCAAATGGTGGTTTTGGGACGTTAAACCCCACAAATCAATCAATCAATTTGTCTGCCAAAGCAAAGCCTACCCCACGTACACGACTGTCTGGCGCCGACTGCGCCGAAGGAGCGACGAGAGCCCCTTGACCACTCCAAGAAAGAAAAAACACCAATTACAGGGCCCCCTAAAGGCTCTGTAAAGTAAGTCACCCCCAATCTGTACACACAGCACTACTTTACACCCAATATGAAAACACAAATTATACAATGGAACGTCAGAGGACTGCTTAAAAACATAGACGATGTCCAAGAACTTTTACACAAACACTCGCCAAAAGTGCTGTGTGTACAAGAAACACACTTGAAACCAAAACATAGGAATTTTCTTAGAGACCACATTATCTTCCGCAAAGATCGAGATGATGCGATCGCATCATCAGGTGGCATTGCTATTATATTAGACAAATGCATAGCGTGTAAAGATTTGCAAATACAAACGGCCCTCAAAGCAGTGGCCATTCGTGCTGTTGTCTCAGGGAAACTTGTTACCATTTGCTCAGTGTACATTTCTCCTCATTATCAGCTGCAGAAACAAGAATTTCAGTTTTTTATGGATCAACTACCTGAACCATATATCGTCCTTGGCGATTTTAATGCCCACAGCCCTTTGTGGGGTGACTTGAGGAGTGATGCACGAGGCCGCTTGATTGAGAACTTTATTCTTTCTACAGATGCATGCATTTTAAATAAGAAAGAACCAACATTTTTTAGCCTGGCAAACAAAACGTATTCGTGCATTGATCTTAGCATTGTTTCTCCTATCCTTTTACCTGATTTTAATTGGAATGTTATTAAAAACCCTTATGGTAGTGATCACTTTCTCATGTTACTGAAGACGCCAAAAGAAAATGAACCTCTACCTCAGGCTCCAATTGAAAGGTAGACAGAGCAGATTGGGAGAAGTACCAGAGTCTTAGTACTATATCGTGGGCTGAGATTTCCTCTCTAGGAATCGACTCTGCCGCTATGCATTTCACTGCTTTTATTATTGACGCTGCTTCAAAATGTATCCCCCAGACAAGTTGTTGTCCCTGCAGAAGTTGTGTCCCGCGGTTGAACGTTGACTGCAGGAATGCTCGCAAAAAGCAGAATAAAGCGTGGTGTCTATTGCGAGACTACCCAACTGCAGAAAATCTTATCGATTTCAAACAAGTAAAGTCTCAAGGGCGAAGGACGCTCCGGCAGGCTAGGAGAGAAAGCTGGCAGAAGTTTTTGTTGGGCATTAATTCCTATACTGATGAAGTTAAGGTTGGGAACAGAGTGAATAGAATAAGAGGCCGACAGACACACTCACTCCCTCTAGTAGACACAGAGGGTAACAGCCTTGAGGATCAAGCAGACTCCCTGGGAGCATACTTTGAACGTCCAGCTCATCGCATTATTCTGATACGTTCAAACGATACAAAGAGAGAGTCGAAAGGCAAAAACTTGAACGTAAATATGGAAAAAATGAGCCATACAACAGACTTTTCATCTTGGCTGACTTAAAGGCAGCACTAAACTTCTGCAACAAATCAGCCCCTGGTTAGGACCGTGTTTTATATCAGATGCTTAAACACTTACTTCAAGAAACACAAAAAACTCTCCTTTGTCTGTGTAACTCCATATGGGCTTCTGGCGAGATTCCCTCTGCGTGGAAAGAGGCCATAGTAATACCTATTTTTAAACAGGGCAAAAATCCATCTTCCGTATCGAGTTACAGGCCTATTGCTCTGACTAGCTGCCTCTGCATATTATTTGAAAAGATGATAAACTGCCGATTATTATATTTTTTGGAATCAAACTCCTCGACCAATATCAGTGATGATTCCGAGAGGGTCGGTCCACCACAGTCCATCTCATCCGCATAGAGGCGCAAATACACGAAGCTTTCATTCATAAGCAGTTTTTCCTATCTCTCTTCCTTGACATGGACAAGGCATACGATACAACGTGGCGTTTTGGAATATTGAGAGACCTCACACATTTAGGTATACGAGGTAATATGCTAAGTGTAACCGAGAATTATCTGTCCAATCGTACATTTCGTGTTCGAGTGGGCAATGCGTTGTCACGACCGTTCGTGCAAGAAACGGGAGTATCGCAGGGCAGTGTCCTCAGTTGTACTCCCTTTGTTTATTTTTTTTTATTTATTTCTTGAATACTGTAAGCTTTTCTCAGGCTCATACGGGGTGGGCGAGCAAATATACACAGTCGCGTACAAACCAGGCAATATCGCACATAGCGGAAGAAACAGAATCACAAGATGATGGTGAAAATAAAACTTGTACGATGAAAGCAATTGTACAAAATCATGGACAGGTCACAAAACATCAAGGTATCAGCAGGGGGTACTGTGATCAGTGTGTTCGAAAGCGCTCACAAACATTAAAAAAAAAACAAAAGTTGCTTTTAGTTTTCATAAAACAGGCTTTCTACATTCCGAACAAATGAATCTACAGAGGAATGATTAACGCATTCACATGGCAATTTGTTCCACTCTTCCACTGCTGACGGGAAGAATGAATATTTAAAACTGTCACAGCGTGACATAAATGGTCTAATGCACTTATTGTGGTTTGTACGACGGGAGTGATGG